TCATTAGTATCTGTAGTTATAGTGTAGCACCTATCTTTTAATTGTTGTCAGCATACTTCTATGCTGGCCATTTTAAGACTCATATTAAGAATTAGTGTCTAAGTTCTCTATATTTTCTGATTAATGTGTTAATGGGAATAAGCAAACTTCAAATTATTCTGAAGCAAGCATATTTCCATTAATACTTTCAGTTAAGCAGTATTTTCTAGAATTGAACATACTGTAACAAGTTACAAGACACCTAAATAAAAAGTAACATCATCATATTGCTCCTTGCAACTCTGGTAGTGGGGGGGGGGGGAAATGGAGGAATTCTCACTAAATAATCGGGTTTTTCCATAACAGCAGGTTGCCACTCCTAGTATCCTAGCAGAATGGCCAATAGAGTATTTAGCATCATAATCAAAGACATTTGACGTGTATTGTATTTGGAAAAAACTGTAGGCAGTTGTTACAGTTAAATATGAAACAAAATGAGGAAGCTCCTTTATTTCCTCAAGTATAATGTCAGTGACGATAGCAATAGAACTTAAGACTTATATACTGCTTCACAGTGCTTTACAGCCCTCTCTAAGCGGTTTACAAAGTCAGCATGTTGTCCTCAACAATCTGGGTCCTCATTTTACCGCTCTCAAAAGAATGGAAGGCTGAATGAACCTTGAGTCAGTGAGAATCGAATTCCTGGCAGTTGGCAGTCAGCAGAATTAGCCTTCAATACTGCATTGTAACCACTGCACTATCACAGCTCAGAATGGCCAATAGAGTATTTAACATCACAGCCAAAGACATTTGACATTTACTGTATTTGGAAAAACTGTAGGCAGTCGATACATACAATTATATATGCACAAAGTAAGGAAGCTCTGGAACTCAAGATAACGCTCCCTTGTTTCCTCAATTATAATGTCAGTGACTACCATATGTACGTTTGTCCAAATAGCTATACTATGTAGAATCATTAAGAATAGAAATATGTACATGTTAATCTTCAAAGGTTTCAGACATTAAGAAATATGAAACTTTATACTATGTGCATTGATATAATCACTCTAATGCTTAAGTGTTCACATATTATTATCGGTTCTTTCAGAAACATTGGACAATGGCAATTATGAAGAAACCACAGATCTGAAAGCTGTAGTACAGGTCACTCTCAACTTACAACAATTCATTTAGTGCCTGTTCGAAGTTTCAACAGCACAGAAAAAAGTGACATGACCATTTTTCATAGGGTCATATGATCAAACTATAGACACCTGTCAATTGATTTATGACCGTTTATTACAATTGCAGTGTCCTGGGATCAAGTGGTCATCTTTTGTGACCTTCTGACAAGCAAAGTCAATGGGAAAGCCAGATTCACTTAACAACCATGTTACTAACTTAATTGCAGTGATTCACTTAACAACTATGGCAAGAAAGGTCATAAAATAGGGCAAAATTCACTTTACAAATGTCTCACTTAGCAACAGAAATTTTGGACTCAATTCTGGTCATACGTCGAGGACTACCTGTATTACACTAAAGGAGAAAACAAGTCTTCAATCCTTAAGTAACTGACTGGAGAACCAGGAACTTCACTTAGATCATCAGCTTAAATTTCTTAAACAGTTAAGAGTTTCAGGCAGAGAGCAATAATGAAAGCAGTGTTAAAATATGACTCTCAGATCAGACTCTCAAGTGCTCAAAAAAAAAAAATCACACCCACCTTCTATATTTAATCCACCTGCTACATGGACCCAAATTAAAAATGCTATTGAACGTATCTCATCATGTCACCTCACCTATTTCCATTTCCAGATGCCACTCATCTGCTCTTCCCTACTCCTTTCCCCCACATTACTTCAAATACAGAACAAACATTAGCTAAGAGCAGTAAGCAAGCATTAGTACAACCATTTCACACTGAGGAACTTCACTTTGCAAAGTCATTTGCCAATTACTCCAGTGCATTTGCTTCCAGGGCTCATCTTATTACATTCATGTTAGATATTTCCAAGCCATGTTTTATAATTTATAATCATAGGATAACCATTCTTCTATTTTAATCATACTTCACTCATCAACAGATATGCAAAATTAATCTTAGAGCCATTGCATTTTTACTTTATAATCATCCCCAAGCCACTTGCTTTAGATTGGTTTTCTTCCCCAACTTATATGCATTCCAATCATTCATAGTAACAAATACATGTTATTCCCACTCTTATTAAACTTTAGAAGTTACAATTCCATCATAACTATAGCCTAAAATAAATGCAAATCTATTGTTGCTGGTTTATAATACTAATTTAAATTGTTTTCCTTCATCTTTGGCATGAACAGCAACTAGCCTGAAAATGAATAAAAAAAGAAATCATATAATTTTCAACACAGAAAAAAAGTTAACATTTTAGGACAATTTTGGCTAACTAAAAAAAAATGCTGCCATTTCTTTTAAGCTTCATATTAAAAACAATGAACTGTCAAAATATGCTTTTAAATTTTCTTAAGAAATGTGGCAACCTGTGCCTCATGAATTCACGAATAAAAATAAGATACACCAGTATCTACAGGTCAATACCATAATCTGAAATCATTTTATATTCTTATTCTACACAAGGTTGATTTTATTCTTAAAGTTGCCACATTAGATACATTGTTTGGGCTGTTTCGATTTAAAGTAGAACACATTGAAAGGAAACAAACAAAAATCTCTTGTTTGGAAGAACTAGTATTATCTGGGAAGGGACATTGTTGCAATTCTGGGGGAAAAAAATACTGCCTTCTATTCACTTCCTAGAGCTAAGTGTTTCACAAGGCAAACCTGTGAGCTAAACAGCACCCGTGGCAAGGCTTACAAGTTTTACACCATTTTTATACACTAAGCCAGAAAGACAATACCAAACTATCAGCACCCATTGAAAGAAAACGCCTACTGCCACTCATTAAACACTTAATAAAGACAGAATTATTTCTAAACAAGTGGGTTCTCAATGACCAACACCACTTACAAAGTAGGAACAATGTTTTGCAATGAAATAAAAAGAACTCTATTACTTTGTCATGTTTTTTCCTGGCCAAAAAAAAAATCAAGCTTCATTTTTTTTAAAAAAATGAATACTATAATGTTGCTTTAAATATATATATATATATTGACAATAAAATTGAAAAATTAAATAGTTTGGCAAGCATGAGAAAATGTTTCCATGGTTGTCTTCTCCCAGTGGACCAAAACAGGTATCTCTATTGATGTTACAGAATGTGGATAAATATTTCCAGCTAGACTTTGCCACTCTGGTCAAAGCCAGCTCAAAATTTTAAGTAAAAACAAAAAGAGCAATGTACTCCCGTTTACTGGTGAGAAAGCATCCCTTCCATTTCATCTTCCATAATGTGAGCCTAAGCCCTAAATTCGAAAGAGATTCTCCTGCTCAACCCATTAAATGCTTCCCTTACCATCCACAAAACTTAGTCTCAGCATCTGATAGTTCTATTTGACAATAGAAATTTTAAGTTAAAAAACCACACACTGCTAATACAACATCACTCCCAAGAATCATACCATCAACACGAAACAGACCTTTCCACAAACTGTATTATCATTTGCTTTTGATATTATAGTTTTACACATCTATATCCTTTTTACATTATGAAATGGGGGCTGGTCATTGGCCATAAGGGAGTTTTTGTGTGTGACTCTTCGCAACATCATAGACAAATGGTGGTGGGGTTAAAGTGGGAAAAATAAGGATATTGCCAGGAGAGTATATGGAGGAATTGACAGCCTGTGAGAGGGAACCAGAGTATATATCAAGAAAAAGACATTTTTCCTCATTCTAAAGAGCTAACACTAGGAAGACTGCCATTTACGTAACTTATTCCCTGACATTTCTCTTACTCGCCAACCTCACTACTTCCTAAAAAAAAAAAATAAGCCCTGAAAAACCAGACAAGATGGCATGAATTAAAAAAAAAAAAAAAATTGAAGCCTGCTTCTGACATCTTAATATGCTTGTAAACTGCCTTGAACATCTTGTCTTGTATAGTAAAACAAGAAATAAAGAGATGCAGAAAACAATGTTCCCAATCTCTAACAGATTCCATGGGGGGCGGGGGGGGCGGAGTATAAAAAAAATAAATAAAAATCCAAAACATTCTGGCTGTATACACAAAACACACAACCTCTGGAAGAAGTACATTTCAGCCCTTATTCTGGCCAATCCACATTCTGCTAAGCATACAAAAAAGAACATCCCCCCCCCCCCTAAAAAAGAGTGAAAAATCCGAATGCAGGTCAATTCAGTTGCAATCCAGATAGAAAACACACATGCCCACGTCTCATCTAGAGAGAATCAAATAAGTGCCCCTTAAAGGGCGCCCTGCACCCACATTCACACCAACGGGTTGCCACGCATCTCTATTAGGCTTCACCAACCCCCAACATATCGCAGGTGTTTACAAACATGTGGATGCAGATGCGATGCTCCCCCCTTCCTTCCTCTTGTGAATACGGCCCTAAAACCCGTCCTAACCCCCCTCCCAACGCAAATATCCGTTCAGACGACGCCCAGGGACACGCGTGCATGCACGCCTGTGCCCTTCGGACCTGCCCGCTGGTCCAGAGCACCCCCGCACGGCCAGCATCCTCCATTAAACCCTCGTGACTCCCAGCAGACACGGGTCTGGCCATTCCCACGTTAAAGGACGAGAAGGGGGGGTTCCTACCCCGCGCGTCGGGATGGAAGTGGAGAGAGCAGCGGCTGTTTCCATCCCAGCGCGAAGTTTGAGAGGGGGGCACTTGCTGGCTTTCCGACCCTCCCCTCCCGCCGCCCCTCCCCCCAGGGCCCCCAAAGGCGAGGCCGTTAACTCCGGTCCTAACTCGGGAAGACTTGAGGGGAGGCAACGACCAGCCCCCCCCTCCCACTTCTGAGGGGCTTGGCGGCCCTGACACTTCGCAGCCGGACCTTCACCCTTTGGGGCCCGGCTTCGCTCCTTCCCGGGAAAGCCGCCAGACTCACCCATCCGCCGCCGCCGCTTCTGCCGCCTCCCGGTCGCCGCCGCCGCCGCCGCCTCCTCAGCCGAGTCTCCTCCGGAGACACTGACACGGGCGCATGGATTTCCACGGGGCGCTATTTTTAGGCGACGCGGCCGGAACTGCTTTCGCTCCTCCCCGCCCCCCCCTCCCTCCGTTCGCTTCAAGGTTCTCCGAGAGGGGTAGGACGGCTCACTGCCTCTTTCACGTTCGTGTTCTTCCGCGGGTCTTTCTCCTGACCAAGCCTGGCCCGGCCTAGTTGACACCGTGAGGGGGCTGGAAGGGAGCTTCGGAGCGGGGGGGGGCGGCGGGACTCCTCGCGGATACACCTGCGCTGACTTTTTTTTTTCCTCCCGCTTTTGAAAGTCTCTTACTTCGCACCCAACCCCCGCTTTCCCCGGCTTGGAACGACATTTACTTAACGGGAAGGGGGGGGGAGCGGCTCGGCCTGTGACGTTGCTCGTGACGTCAGAGCGCGAAGGCACGAGCGGATCGGGCGGTGGGCGGGAGCGGAGGCAGCAAGGATCCAATCAAGGGATGACGTAGGGGAGTGAGGAGCGATGGGCTAATCGTGGAAATGTTGATAGGTGGATCCCCATTCCTTTGCTGGGCAGGACGCGCTGCCAATCAGAGTGCTGTAAACCGGATAAGAGCAAACCAATCAGAGCTAGGAGGAGGAGGGTACTGCTCGAAGAGACCTTGACTGCGAAACGGAGAGTGGAAATGACCGCGCGCATGCGCACAAAGCCCCTTTCTCTTTTTTCCTTAAGGGAACGAATGACGCAGACGCGAGAACGGATGAGCGCATGCGCAGAAGTGGCTCGGCGTCTCTCAGCAGTCTGCGCCTACGGAGGAGGCCTATTTCGCGGGCACCAGTTTGTTGCCAGCTTTTCTTTTTGCACAGCACCGTTAAAACTCGCTGTGCACGCATCAAATCACTCCTTTACACGCTCCTCATCCACAGGCCTCGGGGAGACATGGAAAGCGGCCGCTGGGAGAGAAGAAGCGTGATTGGTTGAAAGACGTCTGAAGAAGCCGCTGTCAGCCAATCACGATCCTCCTATGAGCACGCGTTCTACCAGTCCCGCCTACTCTATATATGTACATAATTGTTAAAAGAAAATAAAAAAATACAAAATTTAGGGGGAGGGAAAGGGTAAAATAAAAAGTGAAAGAAGCAACAGAATCAGAGAGGAAAACTAAGTGGCTTCCCGACTTCTTTATAATGCTTACACATTAATTATCCTTCTTTTCTCTTTAAATTTTTAATTTCTGTGCACATTCTTTCTATCCCATATTTAACTCTTAAGTAGGCAAACCCAGAACTCATCATTCCACTTTTTTTCCTTCCTCAGGAGAAAGTCCATAAAAGATTTCCAATCATTTATAAAGGTACTTACTGTTTTATCCCTGATAAAACAGTTCAATTTTTGTCGTGTCTGCTAATTCTGTCCTCTTCACAACCCTTTAAGCCACCACTGTGGGTACCGAATTTCAATATTTCTCTATCCATATGCATATAATAATCTTACCATAAATAAAATCAATCTTCCATCAAGTCTCTAATTGATTATTCATAAGTCCCAATAAAAACAGTCCCTCCCACTCCGGAGGGATTCATAAGAGCACAAATGTGTAAATGCTGATGTGGACCTTAAGGATGGAAGAAATTGCAACGCCAATTCCACACGGAAGCAATACTTTTCTCCTGCCATCAGACTGCAGGCGGATGTCTGAATTTCCAACAACTGTGAAGAATTCCTGGGAACTCCCAGGTTTGCATGCAACATTGCTAAATCTTGATCTAGCCAGGTGGAGTTTTCTTTCTCTGTCTCCACTGACTTCCAGTTGAATTGACATGACCTATATTTATGCTGGCTATATGCCCTTTATTATGAAAGGTAGCCCTTTATTTCAAAAACCTGAGCTTTAATGTAGTTATTTTTTTATATATTAATGTTATTTTTGTCCTTTATTTTTTCACCTTTATAAATCTCTTTCAAATTAGCCCCCCTTTTCAGGCTCATTCTTTATTTTATCCAAGAAAATGTAGTCAATACTGTTCTAGGCAGGTACTCTTCAATTTATGACCACAATTGAGCCTAAAATTTCTGTTGCTAAGTGAGTCAGTTGTTAACTGAATTTTGCCCCATTTTACAACCTTTCTTGGCATAGTTGTTAAGTGAATCATTGAAGTCCAGTTAATATTGCATCCAGTTCTGTTCATCCCAGTACAAGATTTCCCTAGAAAGATTACAGAGAAGAGCAACAAAGACAATAAGGAAGTGCTGGGATTCATCTGTGTGAACAACCAGTTCTCTGTATGGATGCCGCTTCCGGAAGTCCATTCTGGGCCTGGGCAACAAAACATTAGCTACCGGTTCTGCCGAAATGGTCCGAACTGGCTGAATCCCACCACTGCAATAAGGGGTCCAAAGGCTAAATCCTATTAAGAACAACTGGAGGAACAGCTTAGCTTAATGAAAAGAAGGCTGAGGGGAGCTACGATAGCAATCTTCCAATACTTGAAGGACTGACATCGGGAAGAAGATGTCAATTTATTCTTGATAGCACCTGAGGGTAGGACAAGAAGCAACAGGTGGAAGCTCAGAGGAAAGGCCAATCAGGAAATAAGGAGGAATTTCTTTATCGTTAATGATTAATCAATGGAACAGCTTGTCTCCCAGAATTGTGGGTGCTCCATCACTGGAGAATTTCAAGAAAAGATTGGACAACCATTTCTCCGCAATGGTGTGAAAACTCCTGCTGTGGGCAGGGGGTTGGATTAGAAGACCTCCTACGTCCCTTCAAGCCCTACGATTCTATTTATAGTCCCCATAATTTGGTCCCTTTTTTTGAGGTCGCTTTAATATCCAAGAATAATCTGGTCACATGAATTTATCTAATGTTTTCGCATGTTTAGTCCTGCCTTCTTTTCTATATCATAGTAAAGCTGTTAAGGGATTAATATGACTATCCTTAGTATATCCAGATGTAATACCCAGAGGATTAGCCAATTGTATAATAATGGCAGGCCCCGTTTCTACCTGGATGATATTATTGTTCTCCCCTAAGGTCTTTTCTAGATAGTTTTCTACCAGGTATAAATAATTTTAATGAACTCTGACAGCAAGGCACCTGGCAATATTATAATCGGGGTATTTCCCATTGCGCTCCCATTAGAAAACGTTTTTCTGAGTCATCCTCAGTAAACACTCACATTCAAATCATGTTTGAAGTGGGTGTGCTCCCTTCTATTCTCATAATAGATAAAACAAGTCTGAGCTGCATTCTTGGGCCCAGTGTGAATACTGGGAGGGATATTACGACGTGGTATCACCATAGCATGCAAGCTAACTAAAGCTCTCCAAAACATCTTAAATAAATCAAACAACCCAGGAATAGACAAAAAAAAAAGGAGTTATCTACAACCTAGACTGTAAAGACTCTAGCAGCTACTGTCTAAGACAGACAGACAGAAGATTAGCAGAGCTGCATCCATGAATGCCAACTAGCATCAGAAGGCACAACGAAAGCTGATTAATTTCACAACACATGGACAGACTTAACATAGTTTCAACAGGGAAATTGTGAGCAACTAAATTAAAAAACGCTAGGGGATTTCTGGAAGCTAGGCATTCAGAAAAATCAGCCATTAACAAGCACATAGAGATAGACGACACTTACACATCATTTGAAACAGACAATAAAAAGACTAAAAAAAGGTAACAAAAAGACCAGAACATCTTGCCAGCAATCAACCCCCAGATAAACAGGGATTAACATCAGACTTACTACCAAACAGTAAACAATACCCTCATCAAAGAACTACCAACTCCAAAAGACAATCCAGCAGTAAACAACAGACTCATGATGGAACTACCAAGGGGAAAATAAGACCCATCAACTCTGATAGAGTAACCCCACTCCCTTTTAATCTGATAACGAAAGGTCTGCAAGGAAACAGCCAAGTTTAGAGAGGCACCAAGGACTTCACACTATAACCCCGTACATCTCAGAAGTGTGTAGGTTTTAGAAGCTGAAAGATATACCAAATATACATCCTTCCACCTTTTCTTGCTAAGGTCTGCCAAGGGTGCCTTTAAGATAACCTAAAGTCTGCAAACAGCCCAGTATGATGCATTCCACTTTTAACCGCTTTTCCAAAGTTGTCACGGGGGAAGAGCCATTTCTTTTAAAGTGTTGCATACAGAGATTTATATAGAACTAAGGAATTCCCCAAGTATGACACAGCTTCTGTGATTTTGAAGGGTGGCTCCACTTTCGTTTAAAGTGACAGTTGCCCAAACCACCTGAGCTCTTTACAAGAAGTAACACAATTGCCTCTACCCACACACTGGCTTTATAATTATCCATTGCACCGTCTCTCCATGTCTTTTAAAAAGCCCACTTTGTTCTGATTTGTTATGTACTCATCTCTTCTTAGCCACCTTCAATGTGGGTTGAAAATATCTAAGATTTAAACAGCTTCGGAACAATTTATTATGGGCCATGAACGTTGACTCTTAGCAACCACCTACTGTAGATAGATTTTCTCCATCATGATCTGTTCCTAATTTGGTCCGTCAGGTTTATTACCGCCATGTTCACATTGCTACTCTGAGTCCATCCACATGACTGACAATGTCTACAGACCAGAGGTCCCCAATCCCCGGTCCGTGGACTAGTACCAGGCTGCAGCATGCCAGCAACCAGTCCGCACAAACAAGCAAAGCCCCATTTGTGGGATGCAGGCAGCACACAAAACCACGCACTCTCCGATCCATGGAAAACCCTCTCTCCACGGAACCGGTCCTTGGTGCCCAAAAGGCTGGGGATCTCTGCCATAGACAGATCCCTTGATTGTTTTTCTTGGCTGTCCATAGTATTCTCAGGAATCTTCTCCAGCATCGAAATTCACAAGCTTCAAGACTCTTCCTATTCTGCTTCTTTACACATAAAACCTACAGAAGCATATTTATTGGATTAAAGTTTCATTGGTCAGATATCTAATTGTGGATTATTGAACAAAAACCATACATAAATTTCAAAACTGTCATTCTGGCTAAATAAAAGCTATACTTCATAAATTCCTAGTTCTGGACTGTTCCATAAATGTTATGTATGGCATTCAAAACATCGAATGCCATACATAACATTTTATGTACGGCATTCAATACATCAGTGGCTTTAGGAATGTTTGCTTTTCTAAGACAAATGGCGTAAGATTAAATCGGACACTGCTTGGATAAAACTGTTGTAATGGGAAGCATCGATTTCCTAGACTGAATTGAACAGGTAGGGAAAAAAAAACAACAACCCTCTTTTGAACACACATCCAAATGCTGATTGTAGAACTGATTTTTGGACTTGGCTTCAGTA